ATTAATTCAGGGTTTCTTTTTCATTTCTAATCTGAGGTCTTCTATATCTTTCTGCAACTGTTTTATTTCAGAAGCGGTTGATTCATTGCTTTCAGGTGTGTGATTTCCAATTTGTTCTGTGTTAGTGTCCTCTGTACTTGTTACGGGTGGGCTTGGGTTCTGAGGTTGCATTTTGTTACTTCTTGTCATTTTGTGTAGCACTGTCTTCTGCAATTTGTTGTAGATCTTTGCTGTAGTTACAACCTTCACACGTACTGAACTTGGAACTCTACAGAGTTTGGAGTTATCCAGCTGCGTCTGGTTTAGGTCTGGCTGCTGTGCTCCGCTCCTTCCTGCCACGGACTTGGGCTAGGACTGGGTCTGGGCTAGGACCGGGTCTGCGGGTTCCCGGAAGTCCTATGTGTGAGTTCTTAATGCAGAAGAGCCAGCTAAGCTCCAGCTTCTTTGATAAACAGTGCACTCCAATGCCTGTCATGTGTATGAAGCAACACAGAACCCTGGCTAAAACGTCACTTTTGAAACAAAATACTTCACAGTTCTGTACTGTAAAAAGAGTGAGAAATCATTATGTCACCTAGCAGAAAGCACCTGTAATGTTTGTAACTTTGCAGCTGGAGGTACAGAGAAACTGCAGAAGGTTTTCTCTCCCATTCATTACTAAGGGCAAAGGGCCAGAAACAAGTTTATGGACTCCATTGACCTGAAGGGAGATGCTTGTTTGTACAGCATGATGTGAGTTTCTAAGTCTGAGTTCTTAAAGCAGAAGAGCCAGGTAAGCTCCAGCTTCTTTGGGAAGTGGGGCATTCAAAGCATATTCCTGTATACGGCGCAACACAGAACTCTGGCTACATCTTCACCTTTGAAAATAAGTACTTCACAGTTCCACGCTTTGCGAACAGTGGCAAATCATTGAGTCTCCTAACAGAAAGCATGCGTGAGCTTTGTGACTTTCCAGTTGGAGGTGCAGAAAAACTGCAGAAAGTTTTTCTCTCTCCCTATCATTCCTTTTGGCAAAGAGTCACAAACACGTTTCTAGACTCCCGTGCAAAGATGAGAGCTTTTTGTTTCTACTACATGATTTGTGTTTCTATGTGTGAGTTCTTAAAGTAGAGGAGGCAGCTAAGCTCCAGCTTCTTTGCGAAGCAGGGCAATCCAATGCCTGTTCCTTTATACCACACAACAAAGAAATAGGTTTAAAACCTCTCTTTTGTAAATAAAGTACTTCACAGTTCTGTGCTTTGCAAACAGTGGCAAATCGTTCAGTCCACTAACAGAAAGCATCCATGCAGTTTGTAACTTTCCAGCTGGAGGTGAAGGGAAACTACAGAAATTGTTCTGTCTCCCATTCATTCCTAAGGGCAAAGAGCCACATACACGTTTCTAGAATCCAGTGCCCTGAGGAGTGCTGCTGGTTACACCAGCATGATATGTGTTTCTAAGTGTAAGTTCTTTATGCAGAAGAGCCACCTAAGCTCCAGCTACTTTGGCAAGCAGGGCACTCCAATGCCTTTTTCTGTATACTGTGCAAAACAGAATTCTGGCTAAAAAGTCACTTTTGAAACTAAAGTACTTCACAGTTCTGAGCTTTGCACACAGTGGCAAATCATTCAGTCTCCTAAGAGAAAGCATCCGTGAAGTTTGTGACTTTCCAGCTGGAGGTGCAGAGAAAATGCAGAAGGTTGTTCTCTCTGCCATTCATCCCTATGGGCAAAGAGGCCCAAACATGTTTCCAGACTCCATTGCCCTGAGGAGAGCTGCTTGATTCTACTGCATGAATTGTGTTTCTAAATGTGAGTTCTTAATGCAGAAGAGCCAGCTAAACTTCAGCTTCATTGGGAAGCAGGGAACTCCAATGCCTGTTACTGTATATGGCGCAACACAGAAATCTGGCTACAACTTCACTTTTGTAAAAAATGACTTCACAGATCCGTGCATTGCAAACAGTGGCAAATCATTCAGTCTCCTAAGAGAAAGAAACCGTGACGTTTTAGACTTTCGAGCTTGAGGTGCAGAGAAACTGCCGAGGTTGTTCTCTCTCCCATTCTTTCCTAAGGGCAAAGAGCCACAAAGATGTTTCTAGACTCAAGTGCCATGATTAGAGCTGCTTGTTTCTACTGCATGATTGGTGTTTCTAAGGGTGAGTTTTTAATGCAAAAGAGCCAGCTATGCTAAAGCTTCTTTATCAAGGAAGGCACACCAATTTCTGCTCCTGTATATGGCACAACACAGAACACTGGCTGAAACGTCACTTCTGTAACTAAAGTACTTCACATTTACGCGCTGTGATAATAGCAGGAAATCATTCAGTCTAATTACAGAAAGCATCCGTGAAGTTTGTGACTTTCCAACTGGAGGTTCTGAGAAACTGCACAAGGTTGTTCTGTCTTCCATTCATTCTTATGGTCAAAGAGCCACAAACACTTTGTAGACTCCACTGATCTGAGGACAGCTGCTTGTCAAGACTGCAAGATGTGCATTTCTAAGTGTGAGTTTTTAAAACAGAAGAGGCAGCTAAGCTCCAGCTTCTTTGGCAAGCAGGGCACTACAATTCCTGTTCGGGTAATCACTTTTGTATCTAAAGTACTTCACAGTTCCGTGCTGTGAAAAGAGTGGCAATTCTTTCAAGCTCTTAACAAAAAGCATCCCTCCAGTTTATGACTTTCCAGATGGAAGTGCAGAGAAACTGCAGAAGGATGTTCTCTCTTCCATTCATTGCTATGGGCAAAAAGGCACAAACACGTTTCTAGACTCCAGTGCCTAGAGGAGAGCTGCTTGATTCTACTGCATTAATTTTGTTTCTAAGTGTGTGTTCTTAATGCAGAAGAGCCAGGCAAACTCCAGCTTCTTTGGGAAGCAGGGCACTCCAATGCCAGCTCCTGTATATGGCCCCAAACAGATCTCTGACTAAAACTTCACTTTTGTAACTAAAGTACTTCAGAGTTCCACGCTGTGAAAAGAGTTGGAAATCATTCATTCTCTAAGAGAAAGCATCTGTGAAGTTTGTGATTTTCCAGCTGGAGGTGCAGAGAAACTGAGGATGGTTGTTCACTCTAACATTCCTTCCTATGAGCAAAGGGCCACAAACACGTTTTAGACTCCAGTGCCCTGAGGAAAGCTGCTTGTCTCTGCTGCAAGATTTGTGTTTCTAAGTGTGAGTTCCTAAGAAGCAGTGCCAGCAAAGTTCCAGCTTCTTTGGCAAGCAGGGCAATCCAATTCCTGGGCCTGTATACAGCACAAAAGAAAACTCTGGCTAAAAATTCACTTTTCTAACTAAAGTACTTCAGAGTTCCTCGCTCTGAAAACAGTGGCAAATATTCAGTCTCCTAAGAGAAAGCATACATTAAGTTTGTGACTTTCCAGCTGGAGGTGCACAGAACCTGCAGAAGGTTGTTCGCTCTCCCATTCATTCCTATTGGAAACAGCCACAAACACTTTTCTAGACTCCAGTGCCTGAGGACAGCGGCTTGTTTCTACTGCATGATTGTGTTTGTAAGTGTGAGTTTTTAATGCAGAAGAGCCAGCTAAGCTTCAGCTTCATTAGGAATCAGGGCACTCCAATACATGTTCTTGTATACAGGGCAACACAGAAATCCGACTAAAACGTCACTTTTGTAGCTAAAGTATTTTGCATTTCCGTGGTATGAAAAGAGTGACAAATCATTCAGTCTCCTAACAGAAAGCATCCGTGAAGTTTGTGACTTTCAAGCTAGAGGTGCCGAGAAACTGCAGAAGGTTTTTCTCTCTGCCATTCATTCCTTCTCGCAAAGATGCACAAACACGTTCTAAACTCCAGTGCCCTGAGAAGAGCTGCTTCTTTCTACTGCATGATTTGTGTTTCTAAATTTGAGTTCTTAATGCAGAATATGCAACTAAGCTCCAGCTTGTTTGTGAAGCAGGACAATCCAATGTCTGTTCCTGTATACGGTGCATCAGAGAATTCTGGCTAAAAAGTCATTTTTGAAAATAAAGAACTTCACAGTTCCCCGTGTTGCATAGAGTGGCAAATCATTCAGTCTCCTAAGAGAAAGCTTCTGTGAAGTTTTTGACTTTCTAGCTGAAGGTGGAGAGAAACTGCAGAAGTTGTCCTCTCTCCCATTCTTTTCTATGGGCAAAGAGCTACAATCACGTTTCTAGACTCCACTGCCCTGAGTAGAGCTGCTTCTTTCCATTGCACGATTTGTATTTTAGTGTGAGTTCTTAGTGCATAAGAGTCACATAACTCTAGGTTGTTTGTTAAGCAGGGCACTCCAATGCCTATTCCTGTATACGGCGCAACGCAGAACTCTGGCTAACACGTTCACTTTTGTAACTAAAGGGCTTCACATTTCCCTGCTTTGCAAAGAGTGGCAAATCATATAGTCTTCTAAAAGAAAGCATCCGTGAAGTTTGTGACTTTCCAGGTGGAGGTGCAGAGAATCTGAAGTAGTTTGTTCTCTCTCCCATTCATTCCTATGCTCCAAGAGCCACAAACACATTTCTAGACTCCAGAGCCCTGAGGAGAGCTGCGTGTTTCTACTGCATGATTTGTGTTTCTAGTCTGATTTCTAAATGCAGAAGAGCCAGCTAAGCTCCAGCTTCTTTTTGAAGCAGGGAGCTCCTATGCCTGTTCCTGTATACGGCGCAACAGAGATCTTTGGCTTAAATGTCAATTTTGTAACTAAAGTACTTCACAGTTCTGCACTGTGAAAAGAGGGGCACATCATTCAGTCTCCTAAGAGAAAGCATCCGTGAAGTTTGTGACTTTCCAGCTGTAGATCCAGAAATAGTGCAGAAGTTTGTTCTCTCTCCCATTCATTTCTATTGGCAAAGAGCACAAACACGATTCAAGGCTCCAGTGCACTGAGTAGAGCTGATTCTTTCTAAAGCATGATTGTGTTTCTAAGTGTGAGTTCTTAAGGCAGAAGAGCCAGGTAAGCTCCTCCCTCTCTGGGAAGCAGTTAACTCCAATGCCTGTTCCTTTATATGGCTCAACACAGAACTCTGGCTAAAATGTCCCTTTTGTAAGTAAAGTACTTCACAGTTTCGCGCTGTGCACACAGTGTCAAATCATTCACTCTAATGAGAGAAAGCATCCGTGAAGTCTGTGACTTTCCAGCTGGAGATGAAGAGAAACTGCAGAAAGTTTTTCTCTCTCCCATTCATTCTTAAGAGAAAAGAAGCACAAACATGTATGCAGAATTCAGTGCCCTGAGGAGAGCTGCTTGTTTCTACTGCATGATTTGTGTTTCTAAGTGTGAGTTCTTAATGGAGAAGAGCCATCTAATCTGCAGCTTCTTTGTTAAGCAGGGCACTCCAATGCCTGTTCCTGTATGCAGCGCATCACAGATCTCAGGGTAAAACGTCACTTTTGCCACTAAAGTACTTCACAGTTCCGTGCTCTGCAAACAGTTTCAAATCTTTAAGTCTCCTAAGAGAAAGCATCCGTGAAGTTTGTAACTTTACAGCTGTAGGTGCAGAGATACTGCAAAAGGTTTTTCTCTCTCCCATTCATTCCTATGTGCAAAGATTCTCAAACACTTTTCTAGATTCCAGTGCCCTAAGGATCGCTGCTTGTTTCTACTGCATGATATGAGTTTCTAAGTGTGATTACTTAATGCAGAAGAGCCAGCTAAGATCCACCTTCTTTGGAAAGCAGGGCACTCCAATGCCTGTTCCCCTATATGGCGCAACACAAAACTCTGGCTAAAATGTCACTTTTGTAACTAAAGTACTGCACAGTTCTGCACTGTGAAAAGAGTAGCAAATCTTCAGTCTAAAAAGAGAAAGCATCCTTGAATTTCGTGGCTTTCTAGCTGGAGGTGCAGAGAATTTGGAGAAGGTTTTTCTCTCTCCCATTCATTACTATGGGAAAAAAGAGGCAGAAACACGTTTCTAGATTCCAGTTCCCTGAGGAGAACTGCTTTTTCGTACTGCATGATTTGTGTTTCTAAGTGTGACTTCTTAATGCAGGAGACCCAATTAATCTCCACTTTCTCTGGGAAGCAGGGCACTCCAATGCCTGTTCCATTACACTGTGCAACACAGAACTCTGGCTAAAGAGTCATTTTTGTTGCTAAAGTACTTCACAGTTCCGCGCTGTGAAACAGTGGCAAATCATTCAGTCTAATTAGAGAACGCATCAGTGAAGTTTGCGACATGCCAGTTGGAGGTGCAGAGAGACTGCCAAAGTTTGTTCTCTCTTCCTTTCATTCTTATGGGCACAGAGCTACAAACACGTTTCTAGACCCTAATTCCCTGAGGAGACCTGCTTGTTTCTACTGCATGATTTGTGTTTGTCAGTGTGAGCTCTTAATGCAATAGAGCCATGTAAGCTTCAGCATCTTTAGGAAGCAGGGCAATCCAATGCCCATTACTCTATACGGCGCAACACAGAATTCTGGCTAAAACGTCACGTTTGTAAATAAAGTACTTATATTTCCGGTGTGAAAAGAGTGGCAAATCATTCAGTCTCCTAACGGAAAGCATCCGTGAAGTTTGTGACTTTCCAGGTGGAGGTGCAGAGACACTGCAGAAGGTTGTTCTCTCTCCCATTCATTCCAATGGCAAAGAGCCACAAATGCTTTTTTAGCCTCCAGTGCCCTGAGGAGAGTTGCTTGTCTCTACAGCAAGATTTGTGTTTCTATATTTGAGTTCTTAAAGTAGCAGAGGCTGCTAAGCTTCAGCATCTTTTGAAAGCAGGGCACTCCAATGCTTGTTCCTGTATACTGCGCAATACATAAATCTGGCTACAATCTCATTTTTGTAACTAAAGTATTTCACAGTTCTGCACTGTGAGAAGATGGGCAAATAATTCAGTCTAATAAGAGAAAGCATCTGTGAAGTTTGTGTCTTTCCAACTGGAGGTGCAGAAAACCTGGAGAAGGTTGTTCTCTCTGCCTTTCATTCCTATGGGAAAAGAGGCACAAACTTGTTTCTAGACTCCAATGCCCTGAGGAGAGCTGCTTGTTTCTACTGCAGGATTTGTGTTTCTAAGAGTGCGTTCTTAATGCAGAAGAGGCAGCTAAGCTCCAGCTTCTTTCGCAAGGAGGGCACTGCAATTCCTGTTCCTGTATATGGCACAACACAGAACTCTCGCCAAAATGTCACTTTGGTAACTAAAGTACTTCACAGTTCCGCGGTGTGAAAAGAGTGGCAAATCATTCAGTCTCCAAGCAAAAAGCATGCGTGAAGTTTGTGACCTTCCAGCTGGAGGTGCAGAGAAACTGCAGAAGGTTGTTCTCTTTCCCATTCATTCCCATGGGTAAAGAGCCACAAACTTGTTTCTAGACTTCAGTGCCCTGAGTAGAGCTGCTTGTCTGTACTGCAAGATTTTTGTTTCTAAGTGTATGTTCTTAAAGCAGAAGAGGCAGCTAAGGTCCAGCTTCTTTGGAAAGTGGGGCACTCCAATTACTGTTAATGTATAAGCCATAATACAGAACTCTGGCTAAAACATCACTTTTTAACAAAAGTACTTCAAAGTTCCACGTTCTGCAACCAGTGGCAATTCATTCAGTCTCCTAACAGAGATTACCTGGGGAGTTTGTGACTTTCTAGCTGGAGGTGCAGAGTAACTTCAGAAGGATGTTCTCTCTCCCATTCATTCCTATGGACAAATAGCCACAAACACGTTTCTAGACTCCAGTGCCCTGAGGAGAGCTGCTTGTTTCTAATACATGATTTGTGCTTCTAAGTATGAGCTCTTCATGCAGAAGATCCAGCAAAGCTATAGCTTCTTTGGTAAGAAGGGCACTCCAATGCCTGTTCCTATACACAGTGCACACAGAATTGTGGCTAAATCTTCACTTTTGTAACTAAAGTACTTCACAGTTCCACTCTGTGAAAACAGTGGCAAATCATTCAGTCTCCTAAGAGAAAGCATCCGTGAAGTGTGTGACTTTCCAGCTGGAGGTGCAGAGAAACTGCAGGAGGTTGTTCTCTCTCCCATTCATTCCTATGGAAAGAGGCAAAAAAGGTTTCTAGACTTCAGTACCCTGAGGAGAGCTGCTTGTTTCTATTGCATGATTTCTGTTTCTAAATGTGAGTTCATAATGGAGAAGAGGCAGCTAAGCTCCAGCTTCTTTGGGAAGCAGGTCACTCCAATGCCTGTTCCTGTATATGGCGCAGTACAGAACTCTGGCTAATACGTCACTTTTGTATCTAAAGTACTTCACAGTTTGTCACTCTGTAAACACTAGCAAATCATTCAGTCTCCTAAGAGAAAGCATGTGAAGTTTGTGACTTTCCATTTGGAGGTGCAGAGAAACTTTAGAAGGTTGTTCTCTCTCAGATTCATTCCTATAGGCAAAGAGCCACAAACACGTTTCTAGACTCCAGTTCCTTGAGTAGAGCTGATTGTTTCTACTGCATAATTTGTGTTTTCTAAGTGTGATTTCTTAATGCAGAAGAGCCATCTAAGCTCCAGCTTCCTTGTGAGACAGGCCACTCCAATGCCTGTTCCTGTATAGGGCGCAACACAGAACTCTGGCTAAAACTTCACATTGGTAATTAAAGTACTTTACAGTTCCACAGTTTGCAAACACTGGCAAATCATTAAGTCTGCTAAGAGAAAGCATGCGTGAAATTTGTGACTTTCGAGTTCTAGGTGAAGCGATGTTGGAGGCCATTAACCGGTATCCATTCTATTCCTCTTGTAGGTCAAGTTTATGTTCCTTCTCACCTTGCCTATTCCCTGGGAATCACGTGCTATGCCCTAGGGATTGCACACTCCCCATTGCCTAGACACCTGATGACCCCGAGAGCCGAGACTTCCTCATTCCATCACCCCCTATTTATACCCAGAACCTCCCCTAAATAAACGAGGCTTGATCAGAATCTTTGTCTTGCCTCCATTTCTCGCGTCTCCTGTCCTTTATCCCCTCTTCAATTCCCCGCTCCTCCCCCAGGTGACCTTCGTTGACTGACCAGCTGGTTCGCGACAAGTGGCGCCCAGCAAGTGGGGCATCTGGTACGGAGGATTCAGTGACGGAACCGTCTGAGAGAGCGCGCGCAAGAGAAAGCCAGTGAAAGAGAGAGCCGGCAAGAGAGTAAAAGAGACAAAAGAGAGAATAAAAGAGGTCTGCGCTGTAGTTGCCTGCTGCGACATCTGAACCTCGGTAAGCGGATGGCACCCCTTTCCCCTTTCCCTTGACAATGGACAGGCATTGAGTGAATGAGATATATAGAAAGTTTGAGTAAATCATTAAAGGTGCGAGGAGTAAATGTTAAAATTAAGGATTTGTGTCAATATTTTGAATATATTAAATAAGTTTGCCCATGGTTCCTTATTGAAGGTATTGTTGATCAGAGGTGATAGAAAAGGTTTGGTGATGCCCTTAAGGATTATTATGAGACTTTTGGACCTAAAAAGTCCCAGTGATACAGGGAAGTAAAACTGCAGAGTTCGTGTTCTCTAAAACCAAGGGGTGGATTTTGGGAACAAACGGAGGTTGAGAGTAAAATGTTTGATTTGGAAGAAAAGCTTCTGTCTCAGAGAGGACAGAAGGGGGACCCGAGTGGGTTGCCCAGGAGATGTCTTTTTCAGTTTATTTTTATAGAGCAAAACCATGCGGGGTTAAGGTAGAGAGGAAGCGGAGAAGTCCCAGATCGGCCGCTGATGTGGCGCAGAGTAAGAGGCAGTGGTGCCGTCCCCGGGTGAAGGCAATGGCTTTGAGGAGGGAGGAGGGGCCGCTCTGGACATGTGAGAGGAAGATGTCTCACTTAGGTGGATGTGGAGTGGGACAAAACTATGATCAACCAATGGGATTGCAAACAGCATTGCTCAGGTAAATTTGATTATGCCCAGGGCCAAATGGGGGGTGGGCTGGTGACTCACTTAGGTCTTTTTAGGTGATTGATACCTATTTAGAAAATCAATCCCAGGTGCTACTCTTTTAGCATTTGTTTGGCCTTTAGGTCTTTAGGTCTGGCTCAGCAGGAGCATCCGCCCCCACACAGTTACAAGATAAC